ACAAGCATTACGCAAACTTCAGTCAAGCATTATTTGTGACGAAAACTGTTACCTACAGTATTTTAGTAGAACTATTTTTGAGCATGCGTGTACAAATGTATATGACTGACACGTATGTAAACAATAGGGTTTTCAAAGCCATTGCCTAGCGCCCTCACAAAATAGATTGAAATATAGGCTTTCTTTCGATGCTACGCCGACAGTTGCAAAAACTTGAACGGCAGAAGCCCACGTAGTGTGCTTATTCCCGTATCATCATGACCTGGTGCGACTAAGACGCAATAGGAATCCTTGCCTCCATTTCCGTCTTTTGGTGCTGATAAGTGCTTCGAGTGTACTATGTTTCTGCGGGAGGGCCTAAGACACGGCCCCTAAACCACAGGACCCTGAGTAGGTATATGGCTGGCTGGCTGATGACGGCTAATAAACCAGAAACGGGCATTCAATCTTTCTGTCCTTATCGGTAATGCTATTCTGCCAATGAACCTGAATAGCTTCAAGTCCAGTTGTCATTCATCAAAACAACTCACCTGGCAATAACGTCTTTTGAAGTTACTGTGCAGGCAGCCAACCCGAACTAAACAAGAAATGTAAATATGGAGGCGTAGATTATTTATCACTCGATTAATATTTAATTCGCCTCAGACTAAATATAAACTTTTACAATCAAAGTTAGATGTAAATTGATGCACATATACATGGCTTATCGTTGTAAAAAAACGAGAAACGCGGGGCAGATTATCGAGAAATAAAGACTGAGTGATTCATAATTGCATACCTACTTGCAGGTCAGCTTACCTGAGTGTAGACCAATGGCATCGTCAAGCTGCTGAAGACTTGTAATTTTTGTAATTGTTGTCGAAATAATATAATAATATATGAAGTATTTAATCAGGTTCATAGCCTATATGAATTAATTAAGCGAAACACCTTGACTCATTGAACCAAGACTCCATCAAGTCATGGCGCATGTAACTGTCACCTCTAGTGAGAATTTCGGCCTCTTTGAACTTGATTGTGTGACTGAATCTCATCAACTGAGCCACAACTTAAGAATTGGCGTCATGTCTCAAAATATCTACCCTTGGCCCTTGGCATTCTTCCACAACTTCACCGCATCCAATATACCACTCCAGCTGTTTCCTGTTAATCATCTGGAACTAATCACGTCCTATCTTTTTAGCATTTTTTCCTTTCTCTCATACATACCAAAAGCCTCAATTAATTAGCAGAGATACTTTAACTATTCTCAAACAAACTGAGAACTCGGTGAGGGAAAAATTACGTGACTCACCTTGTTTACGGTTCCAATTATTCTGGGATCTGCTATGTTACCATGCAGTCCAGCCTTATGTATGAGCCGCACGGCCCACTGAATCGGTACCCAGGGTTCAGGAATATAATGTAGGCGTGTCTTTTTGGTTGTGTTGCTCTGCAATTCTCTCAAAGGCCTTTATCTCGTTTTCCAAGATGATCATGCCAAAGGTCGACTGAACAACTACATGTGCGGATGAAAAAGGCAAAAAACTTTACAAGTATACGGAACTTGATGGGCGGTGTCAGTAAAAATGGAAACACGGGATTTTTATTTGCAACAGCAAAAGAATGGTCAATTTTCATAAATCTGAAAAAAAACGACTAAACTTTCCAATTTTTACCTGGACTTAGTTCTGGAACAATTAACTATGTTTTTCAGGCAGACTTTGTGCTGTCAGTATCCTAAACCATGAGCCTTCATCTATTCCTGGTTGCTTGTCGGCAATTGATGAATAATATGCATTTAGGTCGGTGAAGTTGATCTATTAAGGTTAAAAGTGCACCTCTACTTTTAAGCTTAGCCAGTAAGAGGCCGTTCATATTCTACAGTGGATTACCGAGTTCATGAAACGTCGACCGAAATTCGGAAATGTGTTTTAGATTCGAATAACTTATTACAGTGGAATTTTTATACTGATTATTATACTGCCTAATCTGACGATACCCCAGCCACGTTAGGATGCTCTCTTTCCAAGAGTTTCTTTCAGACCGTCTACAATAAGACAACTCTGTAAAAGTGCTAGTTAAGCCGTATATATTTTTTCATTGACTTTTTTATTCCCTTATGAATACAATTTGTATACAGGAATCAAATACAACAGTATACTGTCTTGTACTCTTTTAGTAGAAAATTACGCCTTCTTTAAATCATGTACTTTAAAAATGGTATCTCTCAGTCTTAAAAGGAGTGTCGGTTGCTAAATAATTTAGATGTTACCGGCCGTTACGCATTAATCCGAGGTTTCCAAACCCCTTAGTATATACACCGTGCCTCAGAAAAGTATGTATTTCCCTACTGTGTGAGGAAGAGGTCAGCTAGTTCACATGGATGGAAATGGACTTTGA